TTCTTTAGTCTTTCAGCTTCAATCTGATTATATTTGTACGACCGAGCAATCCTATTATGCCAGATTTTTCTTCAAATGAAGTATACGCACTACAAAATGGGGCTGATTTCGAGTTGCCGATAATAGAACAGCTCGTTAACACGCAGTTCTAATGGGAAGGTTGCCGAAGAAAAAGAGGCTGCCGACAATAGTCACACTCACCTGAGAAGTTTGGAGCGTTGTAAAATCGCTTTCAAACCGGTTTGAAAAATTCTGTCGATTGGAATGGATAGAGAAGCAAGCAGCAGATGAATGTTAACAAACAGACACGTGATATATGTGCGTAACGCTGACAAAATGCTAATAGAAGTGCGGACGCTGCTTAGATTGACGAGAATACGTAAATTCCCCTATCTATAAAAAGTTCAAATCCTATTCTATCGACTGCTTGAAACAGAACTATGTTTCGTCAACTCTGTGCAAAGTTATTAGCAAATGAGCAGTTCGTGAGCAAAACTGTGTATGCCAAGCATGCTCCGTCGGATGGATTCCGGAAAACTGGATGTGGTTCTTCATCCGTGGCGTTAACTATGAAACAGTACAACAATGATAGCAACTGCGAGGTGCAGGTGGAACTGTTCAATCGGCTGCAAGCAGAGGACGGCTACATGAAGATTAGCGGGAATTTTGAAAAAAAAAATGTTTATCGATTTCCTCGAGGTGAAAAACTTCTAGGTGTTCAATGTGATTCTATTGTATGCCAAGGGGAAGGTTAGAAGGGGTTAAGGATCGGGTTTAGGTTGTTGAAATGTATTCAGGTATACCTTGATGTAACGTAACTGTCACTTTTGACTTCCATAGCAATGTAATAACACCATCGAAGAAATGAGACAATCCTCCATCGTTTGTTCATGCCAATTTGCATAATTGGATGGTTATTTGTGAAATATCGACGATGGACGTGCAAAATAACAGTTACTTTATATTGAGGTATACCCAAGGGGTAGCTCACTTCGCACACCAATCTTGGTCATCTTTTTTGTCAGTGTGCTGCAAGCGTGCCGTTTGTGCCGGTCATAGAGCAAGCTGCGGTTGTTTGTAAAATACCCATCCCGGCAATCCGGTATTTCTGACACCGTGAATGTTTTGAATTGAAATCGCAAGGATAAATCGGATTGAGGATGATGCGGGAAGTGGCGGGTGTGCGAAATTTTGGTGAAATAATGGTACTAATGGGATCTGATTAACTGCTTTTTTTCTTTTGAGCCCACTCTAGAACCTACATTTCGAATTTAGAACTATAAGTGAACTGCTGGTCTGAGTTCCTCTGGTATATTCAATTGATGAATCTACGCGAAACTGGACCAATGCATGCGACTCCTAGGTTTGGATTCCAAAACCATAAAAGTGATGATGTACTAAAAAATATTCCATACGATTTGACAGGTAACAAAACGTCATTATCATTTTCACATCATTTCCATCTGCCGGTCGACCGTAACGTAGATTCATCAATTAGAGGATGTTCCTGAATATACAGTGAAACAGCACGCCCAAGTAACAATTCAGTAACCATTTAGCATCCACTCTGATTTATGATGGTTTTATAACGGCAATGAACAATCCATTTAGTTTAAATATAGCATTTTAAAGTGTAAAACATTCCTGCTTAGAAATTGAGCTTTTTGTTGTTTTAAAAACCTTTCATAGTCTGGCAAGAAAGTCAAAAACTGCCTTCTTTTAAAAATAAATTTTAAACAGTTATCAATTCCTCCTTAAAGCTGTTCTGTAATTCAAGCATAAACGTCATTAGCAATTGTTTATAAATGTCTTGATAAAATACTTTATAAACGTGTTCTATCATTATAAAAGCAACCATCAACCAATTAGGTTTTGCATTAGGGAAAAAAGCATTTATTGTTGCTTTTTAGCCTTTTTAAAGTGCATCATTAACTCCCCAATTACTTTGTTTACAAATTGAGCTTAAAAGATAATTCCTCATAGTTAATAAATGCCAAATTTATGACAAGGAAATCTCGAAGGATAGACGAAGTAGGATGAAAAAATCAAGTCGATTTCAGATAAATTTACTTCTTTAGAAGAACCAGCACACCACCAACGACTGACCATCTGTCGGAGATGAGTAAAGTGAGCGGGGCCCTCGAACTCATAAAACATTGTCTAAAGTTGAAAAACATACCAGCCTTCTCCAGATCTTGCGATGACAATCGAAATAACAACCGACAGCAAACCACTGAATCTGTTCGTTAGCGTAGATCAGCTGGTTTCCGATGCAACGCAGCGATTTTATTCGGCGAAAGACTCTTCGAAAATTTCATTCAACCGTACATCTCTGCATCATTGGATGGAGCACTTCTGTAACCATCCGGAAGAAGGGGATCGATTGCACTTCCAGCTGTTCGAAAAGCTTGTAACTGCTCCCAATCCATCGGGAGAAACCCGTCTTGAAGAATCCTGGATCTCACAGCGCAGCTATCGAAAGATAAACAAACTTTGAAGTTTAACTTTTTGCAGGCAACTTTGCCTCCATAAATGCTGCCATAAATCTGAACGGGTTAGGATCAAGCAAAATGGCTTTAGATAAATACAATTCAGCCTGCAAGTTTTCTTCATAAAAGCCATTTTAAAACCTTATGAATTTGTTAAGGGATTCATGAAAGCAAAACAACTTTTTCACAAATGACCCATGAAAATCAACTTTTATGCCACCGCCATGTTACACTTAGTTTGCTTGTTTTTTACAATCTTCGATTTTCAATCAATATGTTCTTAGATATAACTATATTTTGGTAAATTTAGCAATGAGCAAACATTTAAATGCGAAAATAATAAAAAAACAAATCTCGGCCAAGCTTGATCTGAAGAATATATTTTTTTTACTATTTTAAATAATTGGTCAAATCGACGTTTTACGAGGATGGACTTAATTTTTAAGATGTTTTCACGTACATTTCACATAAAATTTGAAATGGCACTTAAAACTAGGCCACTTAATGAGAACTATTGTAATAAATTTGGATATTCAACCAGATTTTTGTATCATCAGTTTCTATTTTAATTATTTTGAAAACATCGGATTCATAAATCCTTTTCTATCTTGATTAATGCTTTCCTAGCATGCGGTTAGGGGAAACGGCTCGGAAAGGGTTTTTATTGTTGCTAAATAGCTTTATTGTAGCTTTCAAATGGTTCTCAACGCGTTCGTCATACAACCTTTTGCAGTAAATCAATCTTGAAGAGCTTCGAAAATACACCCTTCAGAACCTTCTCCAGGGTGGGCCAACTAGACATATTCTAGTCTTAATGAGGTTATGGTGGATGCATTAATGACAAAATAGCCTTGACCAGGGTTTTATGAATGTTGTTTTATAGTTGCTTTGTAGTATTTCATAAAACTTAAAATGTTACTTGGGGCGTAATGTTGTGAATAACTTCAATGACAGTTGTCCTGCAGTGCTCCCATTTTATTTACAACAATCCAATGCCTACGAGATTGTGCCAAAGGAGAGCCGAAGGTATGTCGAAGGTATGTTGAAGGTATGCCAAAGGTGTGTCGATGGATGTGAATAGAGAGGGTCTAGTATAAGAGAGGAGCGGAATGGCTGGTTTTGAGCCAAACGAACTGTTAAAGCCAGAGCCAATCGAGCAGCGCCTATTTGGATTGTATTGGCGGTGTTGTTAGAAATAACCTAGGCATAGGTTGCCTAGGCAGTTTGTTTTGAATCCGCTTCTCTTTTATACCAGACTCTTTTTAGATGTGTGTATTGTTAGATGAATAAAACATAAAACAATGTTTAAAGAAAGCTTATCTAATATGTCGAAGACTGCACAATAGGGTATCATAATATTTATTGAACGAACCCTGATTATTTGAACAGTGTGAGCTACCGGTGCCTGTGTAATTGACCCATGTAAACCGTGTTTACCGATATTGTCGCTACCGGAAACAACAAGCAATTGTTGCAATCACGTTGGTTGCTAAAGTGGATGACCCTGAGGGTGATCTAGTTATTGCTGTTGCTGATTATGATCTCGGTGCTGCTATTTATCACCACACTTTAACAACTCTTGCAGATAATTAGACGAAGTACTGGCTGCAGGAAGCTTCCGAGCAAAGTCCTATAGGTTTGACTTCTAGTCCGATGGATTTATTAGATTCATCCTGAAGCGAAGATCAGCGCCTGTCAACAAAATGCGAAACCTTATCAACTATTGGAAAATCGTCAGCAAAAAACAGTGATGCCGTTTTATAATATATTCTGTGTCATTCTTGCCAGGGTACAATGGCGTGCCGAGCAGTGTGCCGTGATGTGTTTCGGCACAGTGTGCAGAGTTGATTAGTCCTTGTACTTAATAGTATTCACTAGATGGGAGGACGTACACGGATAGAAATTTCCTTATACCTTTTGGCAAATTTCCATTGCTGATTATTCATAAAATGTATAAGTCAACTAATAAGCAGACGCCTTGCAAAAAGTTAATAAAGATCATGTGTCAAATGAAATGTATAAGCGGTCACACATACCTTTTATGCATTCTAATAGGACCTATGTGGTTTGTCTTATGGAATGTATAAGGCTGATGCTTTGGCAAAAATGTATAAGTGAAACACATGAATTAAATAATTGATTTTCGTTTCGTGTAAAGCCCCAACTGATGCGACTGATGACTATCTTTAAAAGAATTTAATGTAATGTATGCCTGAAATTTCATCACTTTTCTCGTACATTTTCATTAAACTTGCCTTGGAATCTCAACGCAATTATCACTTCACTATCGTGTGAGGGAGAGTTGCTTGTATGCATGCAAAAAAAAATCGAACTAAAAACCAATCTAAACTAAAATGACCCATCAAAGCCACCCACTTCACCAATTCCACCGATCGGCACGTTGCTAATCTACCGTCATGCTAAAACATCGTCATTATCACAAAACACTGTCGTTGGCAACAGAGAGCTCAACAGTTGACGTTTTAATTTGTATTCTTTTCTCGTTTTCAGTTCCTTATTTTCGATTTTAAATTATCAGTTCCAGAATGGTAAATGCGTTAGCGAATTAAAGTTGTTAGCCACCACTGTAAACTAACAATCACCCAATTTGTTATTCTTTCATAATCGGAATCCGCAGACCGTCCTAACCAGCGCAACCAAGAGCGGCCGCTCGACGTCATCGACGATCACCTCGGTGAGCCGTAAGGGCAAGAGCACCAGCGTCGTCCAGAAGAAGTACAAAGAATCGTACCGCGTGATGGGTGGATTCGAACAGCGACCCTGGACGCCGACCAAGCGGCGTGGCCCCATTGCGGCGGAACATCGTGGCCCAGGACCGCAGTATCTGCTACCACAGCTGCTAGGTGAGTCATACAGAGCGGGGAGGGGTGGAGACTTTAAATAATGATATAAACACAAGACTTGGAATGGAAGTCAGATTGCGTGGGTCGGAAGTGTACCCAGCGGCGGTGTGTAACTCCTTGTAAGGTAAATTCGTAAATGAGGTGCGCAGGTGGGGGAAGAGGAATCTTGTTCGAGACAAACAGAGTCCATAAATAGGGGGAAATAATGTATTCAAATGACGAACATTAGCGAATTTTCAAGAGCAGACGATTGGCTTAAGTAGGTTTTAATAATAATGAAAACAAATGGCGAACGGTAAGTGGGTTGACTCCCACCTGTGGTTGCATGGAACGTAAGAGTTTTTATATAGGCATGGGAATCAATGACTTAGGAAGATATCGGGAAAGTGCTGAGATATTTTTCATCAAATGTAATCAATAGTTTATGGCTAGATTACATTTAAAGTGACAAATAAAACAGACAACTCAATCACTCATCCAACAAAAACACGCTCCAAATAAACGTTCACTACCGTAAATGGTGTTGGCACGTCCACGATCCTTTTCCAGCAGACAAGCGATTATTTCCTGTTACAGTAGGGATTAATAAATATTTATGTCCGCTGAATCTAATGCATCGCCGTACCCAGCTGAGGGGACACCCACGTCCCTAACGTGCCACTGAACAACAACACCCGCTGCTCGGAATAAGCGACTAACAGCAGCTAGACACGAATGCAAATGACTTCATCTTATACACACCAAAACCGATAATCTTGTGTTCCATTTTAGGTACGCGAGTTGTCGATTCGAAGCGGGCGGCCGCACCCGCATACAGCTTCGGTCAACGCCACAGACCCCGAACGGAGTCCTTCAGCCCGGGCCCACTGTACAACATCACCGGGCTGGGATGCAAAGGCAAAGACACCCCTCCGGCCTACTGTCTGCAGAGTCGACCCAAGGAAATTCCCAAGTACCTCACTCCGGCACCCGGAGAGTACAACGTGGAAAAGTCGGACAAAATGCTGGTCAAATCGGCACCGCGGTACACCTTCGGCGTCAAGAAGCCCCCGAAATCAACCAGCGAAACTCCAGGTATTTGCGAAATGTCGCATTCGTTTTGACTAGTCGCATTCATTGTCACCATATCATGCAACTAAGATAACCATTTTCAGCACATAAATACTTATAAATAATCACACACATTTGACGAAGAACGCTCGATTCGACTCATTTGGCGGTGATCCTCCAAAGCGGGTTATTAATGGAGAGAGAGGGTCACTATTAAACAGTGTCATCTCGCTGTAGCTTGGATGCTAATTTAAATGAATCTGGTTTAATTCTCATGCAAATTTGTTCCCGTTTATTGAGAACTGGATAGCTGGATTTATTTAATGATCACTTTGTCCCCTTTACTGTGTCTCTCCCTCAACCTGTGTTTGTGTCACACAGCACATTCACATTGAAATTTACTTGAATCAAGCAACAGGTGATGTCGTGTGTTTTTCTGTGTCCCACTGCCTGGGATTGTTTGTTTGTTTTTGCAATGCTTCCCAGATTTGTTTTTGTTTTTGTAGCATAGTTAGTAGCCATAGCAATACGTAGTGCGTTTGAGTTGTTTTTGTAGCGTTTTCGAGATACAGTCAAATGATTTTGAATTTGTTGCGCGATGAAATTGGAGATGCCAAATTTGCAAATAACCGAGATGTGTAACTTAGTACACAATTCTACACTTGGGTAAACGCGCCTATAGTGGAGGTGCGTTAGTGCAATTTGTTCCTATAGTGTCTCCATAAGCCACTATAGGAACACATTGTACTAACGTTGCGGTACGTACGTATACTGCCTATAATCGCATAGCAGTCCCATATGTATTTTAGTCAATTTTGAGATAACAACGCTATCCACTATCAATTGACATCTACTTTCATATTACTTGGCTTTGATCATAAAAAAATTCTAACCAACATCAAGTCAATTTGTCCCATCAAGCAAAGTATTCGTATATCACTCCCATCCTGAAATTCGGTTGTCCATTCCATTGTTACAGTTCTGAGTTTCGAGCTGCCATATTTTTCGCTGATATCACATAACATTCAATGCAACTCCTGTAAGTGACATAACTAGAGTGTTCTTTAGAGATTAGAGAGGCTTTTTTCTAGTTTAGTTGTAAGGCTCAACCGCGTTAGCTTTACGGAGCCAATATTTCATGTTAAAGTTACAAAATATAATTAATTCTGGTGGTTTTGAGCTCTTACGAGAGCTTTTTTTCAAGAGAGAATGTTCGGTGGATCCTGTCTAAGTCAGCTGACTCGTCAACTACTGTTTTCGCACGTGTTCCTGGACCGCAACACTCATCTCTGCCACTTTTTCAGAATAGTCTTTGATACCACATTTTTCGTAAAAAAAAACTTAGTCCATGTGGTTCTTGTGTACAATTCAATTCTGCTATTCCACTATTTCCATTTCCGATATCTTTTCGTTGATCTCCTCTTCTAGTACCTCGATGACTTCTTTCTCAATAATTTGCGTTCCGTTGGACACCACGACTACTGCATAGGAATTGGTTTGACTCTTCTCTTGTTTCCATTTTTCATGTTGGCTCCCGGTTTTCCAAGATGGACAAGAATCTCTACCGATTGACACAAAAACACTTGTTCTTGAGTCCATCATAAAACACTTTTCCTTTCCTATTTAGGAAATCCAGCGTCGGTGGAATATCCTCCTCGATATCAATGTACAAACCTCGCACACCAGTATACCTGTGATCGAGACCCGACTCCACAGGAAATTTTTCACGGATTGTGCATTCCACAGTTCCATACTTACCAAACTTCAATGATAGTTCGTTGTCCGTTATTTCTGGAGGGAGATCAAACCCCCGCACGTAGCGAACATTTCTCCCGCGATTGACATGCGCACCTCCACTGACTTTCCGTTTGCATAGTGGATCTTCGGGGTATCCGCGTTCCTTCGTAGCGTTTCTTCCATTGCATCCAGTGACTTGAACTTGATATACACACATTTGTTGTCCGATATCTTGTATGTCGTGTCCATTTCCAACACATCAGAGTCCAACTGTTTCACAAATCCACCGATCTCGAACCAAGACGGCCGGGGGCACCCGTTGGGAAACGAAACTGCACCGTGTTAACAAACATTCCACGCATCTAGGTAATTATTTTCAATTTCTGAGATCAGAGAGGCTGATAATATATTGAAATTTATCCAGAGAGCATAGCAAAAATGGAGAAAGAAAATGCAGATTATATGACTTGTTGCCATAAACGGGGAAGGCACTGTGCTGACCCACCCAAGTAATCACTAAGCTCGTTAATAGCCCGATAAGGGACCTCTTTGCAATATAAGGCTGATAAACGGCATTAATTTTTTATATCAGCCTTATATCAGCATTAATTACACTTTTTGCATTAGCGGGCTTGTTGATGACTTGAGCAGCTTGCTGAATTAACCTGAAAAAACATATTCCAATCTTCGGGAATTTTCCGAGAACTTCAGAGAAGACCAGAAATCTGGGAATTTTAAAGTACTTCACTTAAACTTCAGAAAAAAAAAAACAGATGAAGATCAGAGATCTTCAAGAGTTCCATTAACTTCAAGAAAATGTCAGGAACTTAACAGAAGTTTTATGTAATGCTAACTTCGGGTATGTTTAAAACAAATTAGAAATGACGAAAAAAAATTGGAACACTTCTGAGAACTTATGGCAGCTCCATGAAAATCAGAAACCATTTTGGAAACTTTACAAATATTCCAGAAAACTTCCAAAAAGTTCAGATATCTTAAGGAAACGGTATGTTCGGGAAGTTGCACGACCAAAACTGAGAACTTCATACAAATTTGAGAGCTTCCTAGTATGTAGTTCTATTAACTTTAGGAAAATAATTGGGGATATCTAAGAATTATTTTATAAAAGTTCCAAGAACTTCAGAAAAGTACTAAGAATTTTACTATCGTTCAGAGCTCTGTGGATAGTATGTACTGACAACTTCAGGAAAATTTCTAGAATTTCTGTGACGATTAGAGACCTTCAGGCTTTAGACTTTAAGAAAATTGCATTAACTTTACAGAAGTTGACAAAACTTCAGGGAAGTTTAAAGATCTTTTAGGAAGTTACGTGAAGTTCTGTGCAATTCTGAGTACTTCAGTCTCATGAATAAAGGCTGACTAAAAGTAAATTGGTACGCACAAAAAGACCTGTAATTCGTGATTCAATAAGTTTAAAAAGTCCATTAATGATTACTTTACAGTACTTTTATTATAACTTCAAAGTTACAGCATTAGATGGTTACATTTATCCAGTTTGAACGGAATCTCGAACCTTCTTCTTGATGGAGCCCATCAGCGCTCGCACAGTGGAAACGGACACGGAATCAGCGCATTTCTTCCATTTTGCTCGCATTTGCTGGATGTCCTTGACTGCCCCGCCGCTTCGTCAAAGTCGCTGCTTTGAAATTGCCCAGTATTTTTCGATTGGACGAAATTCTGGGCAATTCGGAGGATTCATTAGCTTGGGGACAAAATCGATCTTGTTGGCATCATACCACTCTATAACCACCTTGGAGTAGTGGCAGCTGACCAAATCGGGCCAAAAGATGACTTTGCCCCTATGCTTGCGGATGAACGGAAATACACGCTTTTTCAGGCATTCTTCGATGTAAACTTGGGATGTAATCGTCGAGGATGTGACGAATGGTTCCGTTTTCAGGCCACAACTGCAAATCGCTTGCCAAATCATGACCTTCACAAGGGCAGCCTTTGTGTTTCGTCAAACACGGTCGTACAAGAGCCTTGCACGCTTTTTGGCCATGGAATTCTGCTTCATGTTTACTGGCCTTGTACGACTTGTATTATTCCCTGGCAAGGATGTTCCGCACCGTTTGAACGTTCACGTTGTACTTTCTGGCCATATCTTGGATCGAAAGACCGGGGTTGGCTTTAACGCACCTCAACACCTTGCTGTGCAGCTGAGTTCCAGTTTTTCGTAGGTCCGTTGATTCCTTTCCTCACTCAGGGTTTCCTTGTAGGTTGTGAGCACTCGTCAAACTGTTGTTTTCGGCATCTTCAGCACTTTAGGCAGCTTGAACCGAACCACTCCGGATTTCCCAGGTGTTTGTGCACAATATTTTTTCTTCTTTCGAGTTCTATTTAATGTTATTTCTGAACGCGATCGACTACTTTGATCTAACTTGCACCAGTTGCTCTCTATAGAAGTGTAAACAAACCACTGTCAAAGATTTTCGATTCCCAGCACTAGAGGCGTGCTAGCGGCGCGCGAGGGGCGTTTCAATCTACTATCAGTCAGCATTTATCATAAAAAGTGTGGGAACTTTAGACGATTTTCGAGAATGTTAGTACAGTTTCATTAATTTCAGGAGAACAGCGATAACACATAACACACAAATCATGTAAATTTAGGTGCTCTGAAAGTGACATATACGAGCGTTTCGAGCGTACGAGATTTCTGAAGCCTCCTTCAGATACTACTCTCGAACGGTTGATCAAATGCTGGCTGGGCAGGGGCAAGTAGCACAGAAACAGGAGGATAATAAGACTGGGACACAATGGCAGGAAATTGTTTGGAAAGGAGGGGATGGTCACATCAAACTCTAACATCAGACAAACAAAGGAATTCGTAGATCGCCTGCATGTAGGGAAGATCATGGGTTCGCAATAAATGTCTTACTTCACGGAAAGGTTGTCTACCTCGGGCCGCTAGGGTATCCAACAGTCGTGCTATGGAGGCGTCATTATCCAGGCAATGCCAAACTGCGTGATCGATGTCATCATAACCGGTTCTGCACCTACATATATTGCTGTCAACGAGGTTTATTCTGTAGAAATGTGCGTCTAGCGAGTAGTGGTTGGACATAAGTCTTTACATCACGCGAATGAATCCCCGACTTACATCCAGACCTTTGAATTTGCCAACATACAAGAGAACTCTGACGTACTAATCTGACAAATTCATCATATGAAATTCTTCTATCATAAATCTCGCCTTGTTGTGCGCCCACCTTTGCGAGTATAGTGACAACTTGAGGAAGGATTAGAGAACATCAGGGCAGTCCAATTTGCTTCAAGAAAATTTAGGATACTTTGAAGAAGATCCAAAAAATGAATGGAAGCTTAGCTTCAGAAAAACTGCAGCAGTTTTTAAAAGTTCAAAAATCTTCAGGGCTTCAATAGCTTTAGGGGTTTTCTGAGAATTTAAATACAGTAAATGATCTGCCTTTACGAAGTTCCATGAATTTTAGAGAAATAGAAGGATCATCAGGCAAGAGAACTTAGGGAAAATTGTGAAAACTTTAAAGAACTTCCAGGAATCTCAGAGAAGTTAGATTTAGAGATCTTCAGGGATGCTCAAGAATCTTTAGAGCAGTTTCAATCACTTTAGGGATATTCCGTGAATTAAAATCAAATCCATACTTTTGGCGAAGTAAATAATCTTGCCTATGATCTGAAAAAATCAGCGCAGTTCCAAGAATTTACGAAGTTCCGAAAATTTCAGAGAAATGGCGGGGCCATCAGAGAAGTTCCATAAATATCATGAAAATTTCCGGAATAAGTAACGAGAATTTTTTGGCAATTTAGGGAGCTTAAGGGAAGCACCAAACACTTTATGGAAGGTCTTAAAACCTAACAAACTCTTTTAGCTGCAGATCAGCCGGATGTAGCTAAAAACAGGCTTGTTCAGCATTTAGCCTGCTCAAGCTAGGACATTTTTAAATTTCAGATTTCAATAGATCTTCCATAACCTCCAATAAAGTTTTTTAATCTTCAAGGAACTTTCGCGAGCTTCAAAGAAGATCAAAGAACTTCAAGGCAGTTCAATTAACTTCAGAAAATTGGTGGGAATTTTTTAAAAGTTTTGAGAAATTCAGAGAAACCTGAAAAACTTTAGATAAGTTTAGAGAGCTTTCGGGGAAGTTGAATGATCTTGAAAAATCAGTTCTAAATTAAGTGAAGATTCTTTTTCTTGCAATTCCCAGAACTCTTTCAAGTATCGCCAGGCAGTGTCTGTCTTCTTATATCCTTCCAGTAGATTAATCTGGTTGGTCGTAAAAGTTTGTTCTAACTGCATTAAAACCGTTCTGGTTGATGCTTGAAGATTGTTACGAATTTCTTCTGAAGTATTCTTCAAACTTTTAAAGGAGATTTCTGGTTTCAATTTTTATCCATTTCCATAATTTATGCAGATGTATTTTATTGCGAGCAATATGCATCCCAAAAACAATGCCAAAAACAAATATTTGCTGTTGGTTTGCTTAAAAGCGAACACAACATATCAAGAAGACTGGGAACTCTTCCTTTTTCTCATACAACCGGTATGAGACAAGCACAATCGCGTCATCTGGCGCTCAAAGGTAAATGCTCCTGTTGAATTGGATAACAATGGTTCCATCCTCAGAAGAAAGGTTGGTGTATTTGCTCATTTTTCTACGCGTTGCTTCCACTTTCACTCGAGCGCAGTGCTACCAACCGGTGGAAACTAATGATTTGAAATTGGCTCACTACTTGACTAGCCTATTGGTCCCAAGAAAATCGATTAACGTACCCCATTCAAGTCAAAATTCTAGTACTACACTTTGTTTGTTTGGATTGGCTATGAAAATTTGACAGATAAAATGAGGGGTTCATGGATTTTCTTATGTTTCGAGGGGTGCATCGATTAGCTTGGGACCGAAGAGAGTACCAGAGCTTAGCCAAAAAGTTGAGCACGTTTCTTCGGGACCTTCTAGTCTTAGAGTTACCTCTATGGCGCTACTGTGTCTGTCGCTTGGATTCAAGTAAAGTTGCCAGTCTTTTTGATATGTTGTCTTCGTTAAAAGGCAAAATCCATAGGATTGGGATAGGTCAGTTTCCAAAAAAAAAATACATTATTTGGCAAGCAATTTGCACGTGTGGCCGAAAGAGTTAATCTTTCGTCACTACAGACATAATCAATAAGGAGGTTTACCAGAAAGAATGCCTGCAGAAGCGATTGCTACCCTTCATCAGAAACCACAAAGAAATTCCTTTGTTCTGGCCCGATTTGAAATCATACCATTATGCTAAAACTGTGATGGTATGGTACGAAGCAAATCAAGTGAATATTGTACCAAAAACCGCAAATCCTTAACATTGTCCAGAGTTACGTCCAATCGAGAGATATTGGGCTCTGATGAAGCGGAGACTTTCTGGAAAAAAACAAGGAATCCAATGTATCAAACACTTCCAACAAATTTGGACAAAGACGGCATCTGAGGAGTCTGTACAAACTCTAATGGATGAAGTTAAGCGCAAAGTTCGAAAATGTTAAGCAAATACCGAATAACTATGTTTTGACTTTGTGATTTTTTAAATCATATCCCATGAATCTGAAATAAACATCTACAATTGAAATATAATGCGAAATTTGTGTTTTACTTAAGTTTTAATGTGACCGGATTATTGTGGATACAGACTTTAGTGCAAACTTATATGACTGTCCAATAGTTTGTACATGTCTGTTAACACCCATGACATATAAACAGTTCTTCACTATAAAATATATTGGACAATATTCATATACAACATACCCGTCACCAATGAGCAAATGAATGTCATGTACTAAGTATGTGAAACTAGCCAAAGAAGAAGATCTATTTGCGTTTGATGATGAATCATTTGACTGTATCTCTTATTTTTTTCGCTTTGATTGCATCACATTTTCCATAGACCGTTTTCATCATAAACACAAAACTCTGCTTTCGAATATCGATCGACAATTATTAACCATGGTTGATGTGTAGTAGAATCGTAGTAATTTGTAGACGTTTTTGGTAAGGTTATCTCAGTATCTGAACCGATTCGCCTTCTAGCTCCCTGTGATTACAAACCCGAAAAAGTAGTATTAGATAGCTCTCCAAGTTTTTCGTTCGGAATCAGGCCGGAGGTGAAGATTCGTAGCGAAACGCCAGGTACTGTAAGTCACCCGATGGTATTTTGCTTTGGGAGTAATGAATCAATTTTTCCAGCACCCGGTACCTACTCGCCGGAGAAAGTATTACAAGACAAATCACCAAAGTATAGCTTTGGCCTCAAAGTGATCCCCGAAAAGCACGAAGAAACGCCGGGTAGGTTAATTTACCTGAGCGACGCACAGTGCGTTGGATTTATGAAGGGCGGGTTTAGAATCGTAACTGAGTAACAGGATGTTGCCACGTTGTTTACATTTTAAAAGTAAATCTTTGTATTGTCTTGTCGATTGGTCAGCTATAAAGGTCAATAAAATCTACAATTTTTTACTGTTCGAGAAATTATTTGTTTGTGAAATAAAATTATTTCAATAGTTGCAATTAGATTAAGTTAGCTGAATTACACTATTTTTTTTTAAGATGATGCTTAGTTAAAAAAATATTTAAATTTGAATGACCAGCATCCATCTCTTAATAATATTTAACTTCAAAATTTGATACGCTTTTTAGCTCACCTAAACAATATTCCACATCAAATAAACAACCTCTTAAAAGTTGTACATACCTACTAAAAAGTTACATTAATATGAATAACCTCACAACTGCTAGAACGTGCGTAAGAAAGCTTCCCAGTACACACTATGCTAATACCTAATTTAACGATCTTCGCTCATGACCCCCTCCGCGCACTATGCGACGCATCGTCCGCTTCCGTTCACGCAGTTCGTTAACAATATCAAGTTCCATTTCAGCGCCCGGTGCCTATGAGCCGGAAAAGGCCAGCCAAGCCCTAGATAGGAAACCAGCTTATACGTTCGGAATGAAAACAATCATTGAAAAACCTAACAACACACCGGCTCCTGGAGCATACGAACCGGAAAAGGCCAAACTCGACAACACCCCGGCCTACAGCTTCGGAATTAGGCCCAATCTGGATAAGCCAAACAACAATCCTGGTAAGTTTCCGTGCGGCTGATGTCGGATCTTGGCCACATTCTCCTATTAGAATTAGAATCACAATCACTGTAGAATATCATCTTCTTCATTAAAACCGTTGTCTCACCTCCATCCGCAGCACCCTGTCAGTACGAGCCCGAGAAGGCCAAGAAACTCGATCACTCACCCGCATATCCATTCGGCATGCGTATCAATCACGACAAGCCTAGCAATACGCCTGCCCCCACGGCTTACGCAGTAGAGAAAGTAAATCTAGACCATCATCCCGCGTACAGTTTTGGTCAGCGAACGAAAACCGACAAACCGAACAGCAATCCAGCCCCGGGAGCGTACGCACCGGAAAAGGCCAACCTGGACGGGGCACCGAAGTATAGCTTCGGCCTTCGACCGACAATCGACAAGGTGAGCTGCGTTCCCGCACCAGGAGCTTATTCTCCCGAAAAAGCCAAATTAGATAGCACTCCGTCCTATAGCTTCGGAGCACGAATCAATCTCGAGAAACCAAGTGCCATTCCCGGACCGGGAGCCTACGATGCCGATAAGATGATGGACAAAAACTCTCCGGCCTATAGCTTCGGAGCGAGGACTAACGTTGACAAGAAGAGCGATATCCCCGGTCCGGGAGCCTACGATAATGATAAGGTAGTAGATAAGACACCAGCTTATAGCTTCGGATTAAGGACAAACGTTGAGAAGCCTAACGTAGTTCCGGGGCCGGGTGCCTACGATTCGGAAAAGGTAGTAGATAAGAGTATGCCGGCATACAGTTTCGGTCTTAGGACTAACGTTGATAAACCTAATACGGTTCCCGGTCCGGGAGCGTACGATTCCGATAAAACAGACAAGGGAGCTCCCTCGTACAGTTTTGGTGTCAAAACAAATCTCGAAAGGCCGAATAACGTTCCCGGTCCAGGAGCTTACAACTCGGATAAGACAACAGACAAGGGTACTCCGTCGTACAGCTTTGGAATGAAGACAAATGTTTCGAAACCCAACATGGTACCCGGGCCAGGTGCTTACGATGCAGATAAGTCACTGGATAAGAGCACCCCGGCTTATAGTTTCGGGGTAAAGCCCAATCTCGATAAGCCAAATACCATCCCTGGACCGGGAGCCTATGACTCTGACAAGGTAATAGATAAGACTACTCCTTCATACAGTTTCGGCGTGAAGACCAATTTAGAGAAGCACAATAACGTTCCCGGTCCGGGGGCTTACGATTCGGATAAAGTGGTTGACAAATCTACCCCTTCCTACAGTTTTGGAGTCAAAACCAATGTCGAACAGAAGAATACCATCCCGGGCCCAGGAAGCTACGACAACGATAAAATTGTCGACAAAACTCTTGCTTACAGCTTTGGAGTGAAAACCAACACAGCCAAGGCATTTAACACTCCAGCTCCCGGGTCATACTCCCCGGAGAAATGCAACCCCGATCACTCTCCTCAGTACAGCTTCGGAGTGAAATCGAACGTGGAAAAGAAGAACACCTATCCGGGTCCGGGTGCCTACAACCCGGAAGCCGCAAATTCCGACACAATGCCTTCGTTCACATTCGGAGTTCGTCCCAATATCGATAAAATCGATGTCACTCCTGCACCGGGAAGTTATTCGCCCGAGAAAGCCAAGATTCATAACCCAGCTTTCACGTTTGGAGTTAGGCCCAACATCGACAAGATCCAGCTTACTCCGGCTCCTGGAGCGTACAATACGGAAGCGGTGAAGCTGGATAGTACTCCTGCGTACTCGTTCGGAGTGAGGCCACATGAGGATAAGATTCAAGTGACACCGGCTCCCGGGGCGTACGAAGTCGACAAGGTCAAGCTGGACCATGGACCGGCGTATCAGTTCGGTATCAAGGTCAATCGTGAGAAGGCGAACGATGTGCCAGGTAATGATGTACCAATGTGTGACAGTTTTCCTATGCCGTTCGCTTTTGATTACGAGTTCTTTGGTTTGAGATGAAAGTGTGTATGTGTTGACTAAAATATGGTTTCTCTGTTGTAGCTCCTGGAACGTACAACCTAGACAAATCAAAACTGGATCATTCTCCTGCCTACTCGTTTGGTATTAAGCACAAAGGTGAAAAGCTGAAGGATACCCCAGGTAATTGGGTGGTTCATATTCACATGCATTGAAAAAAATGTATTGTTGGATGAAAGGGGAGTTACAATTAATTCCCGTTTCTTTAACTCTCAAACCCCCAACGGCAAAAACTACCCCATTTCAATTTAAAATATTTTCATGATTTGTTTTAAATCCTTTAAAATTCATCACAACATGAGGAGTTAACGATTTTTTTTAGATGGATGGATAAAAAATTTGTTCATTTAATGACAGCGCTATGATAGTTTTACCATTTTACAGTATTATACCATCGACAGACATACAAAGCAGTACCGTTGTACCATAGAGATAACTCTAAGACTAGTAGGTCCCAAAGAAACTCAACTTTTTGACTCAGCTCTGGTACTATCTTCGGTCCCAAGCTAATCGATTCACCCCTCGAAACATGGGAAAATTCACTAACCCCTCAATTTATCTGTCAAACTTCCATAGCTAATCAAAACAAACATAGTGTAGGACTAGAATTTTGACTAGAATGGGATACGTTAATCGATTTGCTTGGGACCAATAGACTAGTCAAGAAATGAGCCTATTTAAAATCGTTAGATTCCACCGTTTGGTACAACGGTGTACTTTGCATGTTTGTACAAGGTCTTAGACGTTGGTGGGCATGAGAGTTAATCGTTTAGTTCTGACTGATCGCGTATTTCGTTTACAATGTGCAGATTTCTTCATTGTTCAGTAGTAATTGTTAAGAGTTATAACTAACTGCTGATAAAAACAAATGGGAGTTTAGCTTAGGACTCTTTAGCTCAGCTAGCCGGCGTTGCTAGTTCGCTAATCGTCTCGTCTCTACATTAAGGTCCTCAATCTCAGGTCATGCGATTTGCTCAGTTTATGGGTAAAAGCAACACGGGGAGGAGGAAGGTGGAAAAACTCGTGGAAGCAAATTTAAAGGGACAAAACTCGACTAGTGCTATAGTGTTATTTTGGAATACACTGGAAACGAGACCCATTCTACTTAGAAGGCACCATTTAAAGGCATCAAACTGTTAAAAATACCGCTTCCAGGAATAGTGCAACGTGATCAACCAGAGTCTGCCAGCAGACTTGCTCTACATGCTGCATAGCTCTGTCTGTACTTGTATTACAGTCCTGCTGACTATAAATCCTCAAAAGGGAGAGGTTGGTGAAGAAAACAAAATAAAATTGGGTTCTGTAAGGGTATTTAGGTAAATTCGTATTCGTAATCTGCATTAAAAATGGAACCGAAATCCAAAAGTTCGTAGATTTTGGTACACTTCAACTATTTGAAATAAGTGCGATTACATTAGCAAAAAAACACCATTTTAGTGCCCCTCGGTAGGACTTTGTATGAGAGTGAGCTGTCAATTGGTTAGTTTAGTGTCAAACAGTGAAGTTATTGTTTTGCTTTAAATCTTGTTTTAAAAATCGAAATGAAAGTCTATGGGTTCGACAATATATCGTTGTTTCAGCTGCTTATAATGACCGACATGTTTTTCAAAATTAAAGAACCCAATTCGGCAGCAGGATTTTGTATGTCAGTTATCTTGCAATCCTTGCCAGAAGATAGCATTTCACATGACTTTTCTTTTCGATTCGATGTACGTGTAAAATAGTAATTGAGTGAATCGAAATATTTTGCTCATTTCTAGGTGCCATCAATTAATCAATAGAGTTAGAATATCATTTTTGAATCCAAAACCCAGTTGAATTTGAGAAACACACGAAAAATAAAGGTGTTTGAGTTTCTATTTGATTACAATACTCTCAAGTATGGTCTAGTTGTCTCGTAAAACAAGACAAAATAAAAATACTCTGAAATATGATCTAGTAAGAATAAAAATCCTCGGGAAAATGCTAATGGGAATGTTCGATTGGTTCAGATTTTGACAGTTCATTTGGCTCAAAACAGCATCTCCGCTCATCTTTTTCTCTGAGCGTTTCTACTGCAGACGGCACACAGTGGGACGAAACCAAAAAATGTTTCTTAATATTTTGAATACTTTATTTGAGTGGTGAAATATTTTGATTAAGGGAGATATACACTCAGATAGAAAAATAACTTTTTATGTCTTGTTAAAATTGATGAGCATCTATGAAAACATTGTAAATTAAAATAACTATTTTAAGAAAATTTGACTGCAATTTTCTATCTCTTATCTGGGCGAAGTGATATGGTGACAATGGAGTACAAATGGTTTTATCCCTTGAAGCCCGTTTTTTACCATAACGTTTTTGTTTGAATTTTAAATGTTATCAATGTTCTTCAAAGTTGCAAGTGCTCTAAAAATGCACATTTTTGCTCAAGAAAACAAAATGCTATCTCTTCGTTTAAAGAATTTACATCCGTATTTATAATCTTCAAGGAGGTGTATCTTGCAGGTTAGCAGGTATTAGCAGCTAAACTCAATGTAATTTCGGAGGATCCTCTATGAATAGTATATGCAACAGTAGGGTATAAGATTTTGAACAAAATAACGATGAGTTTAGCTGCTAATTCCTGCTAACCTGCTAGATACATCTCCTTGAAGATAGCATTATAAAATTATAAAAACGGATGTAAATCCTTAAAACAAAGAGATAGCAATTTGTTTTCTTGAGCCTAAATGTCGGTTTTAAAGCACTTACAACTTTGTACGACATTGACAAAATTGGAAAATTCAAACAAAAAAGTTATGGTAAAACAACCGGTTTTAAATTGATACTACCGTTCGTACTCCATTTTCACCCTATAACTTTGTCCAGTTGGGAGATATAAAATTTTAGTTTTGGACGAATTTTCTTAAAATAACCTCATTTACAATGTTTATATAAATGTTCGTCGATTTTAATTTATTTCTTTTTTTTATCTGAGTGTATACCCCTCTTAAACAAAAGCAGTTGATGATCAATGAGCTGGATTACCGAGGTGAATCAATCGGTTAAGTTGTGTGAGTGAAACCCATGTAAGAGACAAGCAATTAGTGACGTCACTAATTGCGTTTACGTTGATTTTTTGTTTTACTAATACAACCATATTTCACGAAGCCCAGGGCTGAAAGTCTCCTTAATAAAGATATAAAAAAAAAAAATATTTCACGATCAGCTTCACCTCTCTCTGTACCTTATTGGTTGATGATCACTTCACCAACAGTAGGAAGTTCCCTTCGCATTGCATTATATTTCCAGCGTTGTAATCCAGACTGGACCCACGTGTGTAAGTACGATGAAGATACGCTAGCCAGAAGACACCTGTTGCTACTAAAGGTTGAACACGAAAAAATCCGGAAACGAAAATCTTGTTGGGGTTTGAAAAGAAGGTCAGAAACACTTCTTTACAGAATTTCAAATGTTTTCATAATTAATACATATCTTCAAAACGAACGAAAAGTCGTTTTACTGTAGCAAAAAGGTGATTAAAAGATTAAGGACAGTAATGATCCGCGAATAGGCAATTAATTAAGAAACTACACGTCCGTTGGGGTTTTCCAAATCATAAAATCCATTTATCTCCGCGAATAGTGCCTTTATCGATATTTTAGAGTTGTTTGGGTTTTCCAAATATTATTATTATCCATTTATCTCCGTGAATAAGGCCTTTTCGAGATGGTAGGGGTGTTTGGGTTTTCCAAATCTTAAAAGTTGATTATCTCCGAAAATAAAGCCTTTAAAAAGATTTTAGAGGTGTTTGGGCTTTTCAAATTTTAAAATCCATTTATTTTCGGAAAAAAAACCTTTATCGAAATTTTAGTGGTGTTTGGGTTTTTCAGAATCCATTTATCTCCTAGAGTAAGGCTTCTAACGAGAATTAAAGAAGTGTGGGGGGTTTCCGAGGGGGACGACTCTATCTACGCTGCAGGAAAGATTGTGTTTTGCTGTGGCTAGCTGCTCACACGCTGAGTAGATAGAAAGACGATTGATGACGATTCTGAAGATTTCCAGCAAAAAGATGATGCGCGATGCAAGAAGATGTTAGAAATGCAAGAAGATTTTTCGAAGAATGATTCGCTAGTGTGAGATTTTTTGATCATCTAAAATTGAGATTTAGATGTGTCGCCCCCCTCGGGGGTTTCCCAAATCTTAAAATCCATTTTTATCCGTGAATACAGTCTTTGGAGATTTAGGGCAGGTATATACAACATTTGTTACCCAAGTTTTTGATATTATCCAGAAAAATAAATTAAGCCTTTTATGTTTTTGTTTTTGTTTGTCTCAACAAATCCAAACACATAAAGCAATGATACAGACAAAACGGTCGCTACGACTACCATGACAAACTCGCTCTGTGACATAGCTCGATCGGAGTGGTAGAAGGATAATGATATATTGCTTGCCTGCTTTGTTGCAATATACACAGATGAGGACATAGCTTGATCTGAATCGAGAAAAGACAACAACAAAATTCCCATTAACATACGTATATCATCTTCCGGTTTATTTTGTGAAGCAGCTTGTCAACAATTTACTTGTTTCCTTCTACCGCCCCGAGTAAGCTGTGTCGCACGGGCTGCTTGTCATGAAAAAAAAGAAGAAGATCATATCATTATTGTTTTCCACTTCTGACATAGCGATTTCATTCGGTTCGTTGGTCGTCATTTTGCCATTTGAAGATATTTTTGATTCCTTGCTCACAGGACAATCCCGTTTTTGAGATCGAGTTTTGTTTTTATTTGCCTTGTTTTCAGTTCCTTCCGGATTTCCTACACGGTTAGAAAAAAGTACCCAAAATTAACTTCTTTTCACTCATCTCGGCACTATAGTGCAGGAACCCAAAAGAAGGTAAATCGGGTCAAAGTAATTTTCATTAACTTGTGTGCAGTTCGTATGGAATTTTCCACTAGCTTTTTAACCAAAAGTAAGTTAGTTGTACCCAACAGTAGGTAAATATGGTTATACCCAACGTTGGGTTCCTACACTTTACTACCCCTGTTGGGTGATTTTGCTCCTTCTTTTTTGACAACATTAGAAGGAGAAAATGAGACAAACTAGTCAAAAGTAGGTAAAAGTGAACTGGCCGTTGGGTACTTTTTTCTTAC